ATGAATATTGTCACATCTAAACCCTAAGTTTATGTAAATCTTGGGAAAATTCTCTTGGAATGGTCATGTTGCTGAGATTGCAGTGATCCAAACTCTAGTCAATTTCAGAATTATTTTATAATCCATGCTTGGTTTTGCATCCTCGTCTATCCTTTTTTAGCTCCATTGTATTAAAAAAAAGCATGCTAATGGAAAGCTATTGTTAGATGACATTTGACATGCTGTAGCATGTCTAGTTACACTTAGCCAATTAATTCCTATTTTTAGTTACTGATCTTTGAAAGCTTCATTTGTGAGAACCGAGAAACCATTTACGTACCATTAGATATTTTTATGAGAATTACCCTTCACAGCTTTGAAAACCTCTTCATGGCTTTGATGTATGGTTAATGTATACAGGTTGGTGTGACTTTACAAGATGGTAGAACATTTGAGGGTACAGTAGTGAATGCTGATTTGCATTCTGATATTGCTATTGTAAAGATTAAATCTAAAACTCCACTCCCAGCTGCAAAACTTGGTTCTTCAAGCAAGCTCTGCCCTGGGGACTGGGTGTTGGCCTTGGGCTGCCCACTTTCCCTTCAAAATACTGTCACAGCTGGTATTGTAAGGTATTGACCTTTTTTCCAGCATTTTGAAGTCATTCTTCCATTTCGAATTCTATTACCCTTTCTATTCTCAGTAGTCAATTTATGGTTATGCTCAATATAAATGGAACTCTGTTGACTATTATAAACTTGCTAAAACTGAGAAAAAGAACAACTTTGATATGGAGTTTCATCACAGATGGCTAATGCTGTTCCTTTTCCTGCCCTTTTTTCCTTGTATAGTTGTGTTGATTGTAAAAGCAGTGACTTGGGCCTTGGAGGGATGCACAGGGAGTATCTACAAACAGATTGTGCTATCAATCCTGTAACTCTCTCATGCTCTATCAGCAAACATCAATTTTTAACACTGTGCATATCATTGTAACTGTGTGAATCCACACGTTTGTGGATTAAAGAGGATCTTATGTAAAGGGGTTTGTTAGTCAAACTGGTATAAACTGACATCCACAACCTTAATTCTAGAGTTAAGTTCAGGGGTTCAAGTCACTACAATAGCCAACCAGTAACATTTTTGCCAGTAAAAAATTATAAACTAGAAGAAGATGTGCTTGTATCATTGCATCCTTCTTATGGATTTTTATCTGTGTTTGGGCATATCAGTGTTATCAGTAGCGGATAGCGGTAAATAGCGGGAAGGCTAAAATCCGCTATGATAGCATATTACCAAATTTCTCACATGAAAGGCTTACTACCATTAATGGGTAT